GGAGGCAAGCAAAAATTCAAACCACTCACAGAGCTTCCTAACTCAAAAAGCAAACTTAGAAACCAAGCACCCCCACCTCTTCACTGATATGGCAGCACAAGACACGTGTAATTCAGACCCCCTGAACGATTACTTCAACCTTACAGAGCTTGAAACAGCTTTAAAACACAAAAAACAATCTGCACCTGGGGATGACACTATAGGCTACGCAATGTACCAAAATCTCCCACCCAATATGAAAAACATTCTACTATACCACATCAATCAAATATGGTCTAATGGCAAAGTACCCTTAAAATGGAAAAAAACCCTAGTCATCCCCATCCCTAAAAATAATAAGGATCCACACCTAGTAGCATCGTACAGGCCAATCTCACTCACTATCACCTTATGTAAGGTCATGGAAACTATGATAGTGAATCGCCTTAAATACTATTTGGAATACAATGAACTCATAACTGAGAATCAAAGCGGCTTCCGAGGGAACCGCTCCACACTTCACCAAATTCTATATCTAGAAACAGACATCAAATTAGCTTTCAATAATAAAGATTCGAAGCAACGACACCTCGTGGCTATTTTTATAGATTTCGAAAAGGCATTTGACCTAGTATGGACAAACGGTCTCATTATGAAACTCAATAAATTTGGTATCCAAGGGCGCTTGCACCAGTGGATCCGAAGCTTTCTTCATAAACGGTCCTTCAAAGTTAAAATAGGAACTGAAAACTCGGCCGAAGAAGAACTCAAAAATGGGAGACCACAAGGTAGTGTCATAAGTCCCATCTTGTTCAACCTTATGATTAACGATCTTTCGAACAACATTAGAACACTAGTAGAACTTTCACAATTTGCGGACGACGGCTGTGTATGGAAAGCCGGAAATCCAAAAAGCCCCAATTATATAGGACAATTATAAACTAGTCTCGATCACATCTCAAACTGGACCAATAACTGGGGCTTCAAAATCAACATGGTCAAAACTGTGGCCATTCTCTTTTCACCAAGAAATATCAGACAAATAGAGCCTCACAATTTGTACTTAAACAAACAGAAAGTGCAATTTACCACACACACTGTGTTTCTAGGCGCCACATTTGACAGACATCTCACCTGGAAGTTGCACATTAATAATCTCATTGAAAAATGCAGACAAGATCTCAATCTTTTAAGGCGTATAAGAGGCCTAAAGTGGGGGGCAGATCAAGACACTATGCTCAAAATTTACAGAACAATAATTAGATCCAAACTGGACTACGCCTGTCAAGCATATGACTCTGCAGAGCAAGCATTACTCAACAAACTAGACTTAATTCAGTACCAAGCACTTCGACTATGTACTGGAACGCTACCCAACACCTCCCTTAGAGAACTACAGGTACTCCACCTTTGAACTTAAGGAGAACAGAGCTCTTGCTAAAATATACAGCCAGAGTCAGCACTCTTCCAGAACACAACCCTAGCAGACAGGCATATAATAAAAGTGGGGTCGCTTTCCGCCAAAAATGGGTCAAACACCCCCAGCTTTCAATCGAGTATATAAAATAATCAAACAAAACCAAAATCTCACCATACAAGCTGAACAAAGATTGTTTCAAGATCCAAGCCCATGGCGGAATCAAACACCTAAAATTAACTTCCGGTTGCTAGGGGGGGGGTTTAGTAAAAAAGATAATCAATGGAAGCTCTTAACACATATCCAGGAACTCTTAAACACACAGTACAAAGAACACACTCATATTTATACGGACGGCTCCAAAAATCCACAAGAAAACAAGACAGCAGTTGCAGTAGTCATACCCTCAAAACACTTTAAAATTAAGGTCAGACTCCTCGACGGATGCTCAATTTTCACAGCTGAACTTTGGGTCATTAACCAAGCCATCAACTGGACTTTTACACAAAATCAAACATCACATCTCATCATAAGCGATTCGCTCAGCGCATTACAAGCAATTTAATCAACCAAACCAACTAACAGAGAAAATTTGGTAGAAAATACACTATACAGCCTGCGGAAAGCTCTAGAACAGGGGAAAAATATTGAATTCCTATGGGTATCATCCCATATACAACTTCAAGGAAATGACTTAGCGGACCAGGCTGCAAACGAGGCACTTAACTCTAATTACAGAATCGATATAGGGTACAGTATCCATGAAAATATCATCTCAAATTCAAAATTTCATCAACAACCAGTGGCAATTGCAGTGGGACGAAAAATCCGGAAATCCAAAAAGCCCCATTTATACCTTCCAATTGCAAAATAGTCTCGATCGCATTTCTAACTGGTCAAATTACTGGGGCTTCAAAATCAACATGGTCAAAAATGTGGCCATTCTCTTTTCACCAAAAAACACCAGACAAATAGAACCCCCCACTTTGTACCTAAACCAACAAAAGGTGCAATTTACCACTAACACTGTATTTCTAGGCACCACTTTCGACAGACATCTCACCTGGAAACTTCACATTAATAAACTTATAGAAGACTGCAGACAAGATCTCAACCAATTAAGGCACATTAAAGGCCTTAAGTGGGGGGCAGACCAAGACACTATGCTCAAAATTTACAGAACAATAATAAGATCCAAACTAGACTATGCCTGTCAAGTATATGACTCTGCAGAGCAACCACTGCTCAAAAATTAGATTCAATTCAGTATAAAGCACTTCGACTTTGTACTGGAACTCTTACCAATACATCCCTTAGAGAACTACAAGTACTCACTGGAGAACCACCCTTGAACTTAAGAAGAACAGAGCTTTTGCTAAAATATACAGCCAGTGTCAGCACCCTTCCGGAATACAACCCTAGTAGACAGGCTTTCAACAAAAGTAGGGTAGCGTTCCGCCAAGAATGGGTCAAACAACCCCCAGCTTTCCACCGAGTCCATAAAATAATCAAACAAAATCCAAACCTAAACCTACAAGCTGAGACAAGATTATTTCAAGATCCATCCCCATGGCGGAATGCAACACCTAAATCAACTTCCAATTAGTAGGGAGGGGAAACAAAAAAGACAACCAATGGAAGCTCGTAACACACATACAAGAATTATTAAACACACAGTACAAAGAGCATACACATATTTATACGGATGGCTCCAAAAATCAGAAAGAAAACAAAACAGCAGCTGCAGTAGTCGTACCAACAAAACACTATAAAGTTAAGGTCAGACTCCCCGACGGATGCTCAATTTTCACAGCTGAACTCTGGGCCATTAACCATGCCATCAACTGGACTTTCACACAGAGTCAAACATCACATCTCATCATAAGCGATTCACTCAGTGCACTACAAGCGATTAAATCAACTAAACCAATCAACAGAGTTAATTTGGTAGAAAACACTGTACAGCCTGCGCAAAGCACTTGATCAGGGGAGAAATATCGAATTTCTATGGGTTCCATCCCATATTCAACTTCAAGGGAATGATTTAGCGGACCAGGCTGCCATCGAAGCACTTGACACTAATTATAGAATAGACATTGGGTACTGTACTCATGAAATATCATCCCAAATCATAAAATTCATCAATAACCAGTGGCAAATGCAGTGGGACGAACATTCTAGTCACACACAACTTCACTCAATTCAAAACAAAGTCGGCCGCCACATCAAATGGAAATCTCTGCCAAACTTCAGGGAAAACCACCTAATTAATAGACTCAGAACAGGCAAGACCAAATTGTATAGAAGCATTGGCAAATATCTCAAAAAACAACAAGGGAACAAACCTAACTGCCAACACTGTAACTTGCCTGAAACCCTTGAACACATCTTTAATGAGTGCATTCACTACAATCCACAAAGAATTATTTTTCAAAACAAACAAAGCAAAATTAACATACCCCTGTTTCTTCCAACCTAAATATAACAAAAATATTCAAACTTCCCATATTAACATAATCGACTACTTGCAGCAAATTCAAAAATCAAATGCAATATGAATAAATACACAACTAAAACCAGAGTAATGACACAACTAAAACCAGAGTAATGAAACCTTCAAGTCTAGTAACTAAAATGCTAAAGTTAAATCAGGATCCAAATTTGACTTATGTTTTCCATCACGTCCGCCACTAAATAGCTAAAAATAACTTAAGCTAAACAATAGGTAGTAAAAATAACTTAAGCTAAACAATAGGTAGTAGGAGATTCTCAATCCACAAGATAGAGGAATCAACTATGGTACCGCCCTTTGCTGGATCCTTTTCTTTGCCTTTTCCGAGCCCGGGGGTCGAGGCGGTGGAACTGCGACAATGCTGCTCAAAAAGGTCTGTTTTAAGGTTGGTAGAAAAGGTCAAGCACTAGACCAAAAGCCCAGCCCTCGGGCTAAGTGCCTCCCTAGATTAGCAACATTATCGAAAAGGTGATGCCCGGCTTAGGTGGTAAACCAGAAATAGAAAAAAAGTTTGAGAGACTGAATAAAAACTGTTTGAAGGTGCAGGAAAGATTTAGAGCAATGGGACATACGGACTGGATGCCAGAGAAAGAAAAGAAAAAGAAAGGAATCATAGGCAAAGCGATGAAGTTGAAGAAGTGGAGAAAATATAAGAAGAACCCAAAGGCTCAAAGGCTCTTTTTAGGACCACTTTATTTGCTTCGAAAAGATATCTCTTATGTCATTACTATATGTGTTTCTATATTTGTCTATAACTATGTCTATATTATATTTGTCCCTACCAAGGGAGCCGCGGACACTGAGGTCAGCAACTTGCAACATTGTTACCAATCTCTAGTACCGTGACTTCATTGCACCTGTTCTATTTATATTGTCCGTATACAGAACCAAACGTTTGTCGCCATATTGTCCCGAAGTGGGGGTCATGGTGGTGGTTCTGTAATTTATTTTCCTATAGTCGCTATAAATCTGGTCACGTATCGTCCCGGGATGGGTGGGTCTGTAATGTATTTTTCCATTGTCGCTATGTCGTCCCATTATGCTACTAATACATGCATTATCATCTTTGTTAATGTTTTTATTCCCTTATTGGACTGCTCCAGTGGCTTGAGTTGTAAGAGCGTCTGCCTCGGATGCGGAAGGTCGCGGGTTCGAACGCCGGCCGAGTCATACCAGAGATTTATAAAAATGGTACAACAACTGCCTTGCTTGGCGCTCAGTATTAAGATGTTAGTGTTAGGATTGGTCGGCCCGGTGTCAAGATAATGTAACTGGATGGGAAGATAATGTAACTGGATGGGACATGTTACCTCATTTTTACGGCGTGATGCCCTAGTACTACAGATCACAATAAACTGTTACACTGCAGACATTACAGTGATACGAGTGGAAAATTGTTAAAGCTACATTAAAAATCCAAATCACACACACGCGCACACAGACATAGACAAACACAATTCACTTATTTGTTCAAGAAATACAATACCTTGAGGGTTTTCTTCAAATACCAGACATTTAAACTTTATTCCAGTTTATTATTTTTCAGTAAACGAAACGTGGTATCCTTGTCTGGGAAAGCAGTACTAACTTTGTCTTGTTTGGTTTACTTATTTTAACCAACCCTAACCCCCACATTATTCCAGGCAAAATACGAGTAAAAATGATTGCAATTTAAAAGTTATGTATTTTCTTATACTTTATATATTTAACGGCAATCCTGCCAAATAGCATTATTTAATGATCAATTATCATATATATACGATAATGTGTTTTGGGTAAGAGTTGTTTTGTTTGGTAGGGTACGGTAGTACTAATATCAGTACCTTAGTCCTACCTTGTGGTCTCAACCACAACTAAACAAGTTGAGGCTACGACATCGTAGCTAAGGGTACGGGTACTAGTACGTTTTACACTTTTTAATCGACACCGTCAAATTGTTCTACGCTCCATTGCGTTAGTGTGTTCTGCACTCGCATTTGACGTTACGTTGAACCCTGAAGGAATCCCATGGCCAGCGAATGTTACCTGTTTTTGTTATTCATTACAACCTCAGCCGCGTATGCGAGACAAAAATATGTATTAAGAAAAATGTAACAAAAATGTATTGTAAAATAAAAATAATATGTATTGAAAAATATGTCACGACTGACCTCGAAGTTGCGAATACTCTTATATTTTTGTATAAAGATCATTTATAAATAAGAGAAAATTATATTTATTTATAGTATCATAGTTATTTATAGCCAGCAAGACTGATTTAAAAAACCCAAACTAATTCAATAGAACGTCTAATTAGCAGTAAAATGGCTGACATGAAATCCTATTATATCACTGAAATAAATAAAAGGAGAAAATGGGAAGAAGGGGTTGTAAATCATGGTGTATTGCGTCAATTGACATCATTACAGGGATTTTCTTTAGAAGAAGTATTAAGAAAAAATGCAAAAAGCAAAAGTTGGTTTATGCTGGGAACGTTTAAAGGAAGCAGTGATCAGGCAGTGGTGCTTCTTGAGAAAACTGCTTTCTCCAATGAGAGTGTTGAATACCTTTGTCAAAACACCATCCTGGAACTAAAGTCGGAAAATGACAACTTCTATACGTACAGTGCCAAGGTTCCAGTTCAAGAAAATGGTAAATGCAACATTTTTTAAGTATACTATCTATAACATGCTTCCAACGATCACATATCTGCAAGGATAATTCTAAAATTCAAGGTTCACATTTTTTGCAGGTTTGAAGTTTTTGTCTTTGTACATAATTTTTTTTATATATAGAATTATAGTTCATTTTCAGTTACTTTCGAAACTTCACAATAAACCTTAATTCCTAAGGGTACAACATAATGCCAGTTAAGCAGAACCAAATGCAGGAATGGGATGTTTTAAAGACTTTTTAGTATATCAGATATATGTTTAAATAGTTTTAGCTGTGGAGATGAAAATGGGGTTATGTCATTATTGCTAATATGTAGCAGACAAACCAGTGTGTCTTATACAAAAATTAAAGGAAGAAAAATTACATAAATTGTACAAAGTGTTGGCAAAGCCTCAGCAATTTATTCCTGTTGAAATAAATTTTTGGTAAAATTATTAGTATTATTTAGTAAAAGCAACATATAATACATACAAATTACAATGGATGACACAAAACATACAGTAAGGCAACAAGAAATAGAACCTCTAAGGTAATAAACATAATACATATAAACTCATCATACAAATGAGATACAACAAGTAAAAGGAGACATAGGTTGCAGTCATGTTAAGTTCCAGAAGAAAACATTTGTGAGTTTTACCTTTGGAAATGTTACAATATGATTAGGATGAATTGGCTGTGTTTATACATGAAGTCTTGCAACATCTACATACTTTGCTGTTTTCGTTATGTAGCTAAGTTTGTTAAAGTTACTCAAAAAATATTGTTATAAGACAGATTGAGGAAAAAACTCCTGACAAAACAAATGTCACAAATGCATTATTTGCATGAAGAAACCTTTTGTTGTAGTTTATTTAAAAGAAAGCAAATTAATAAAAATGCAAGCAATTACATGAAATCACTAATGCAAATTTCTTTATAAGTTCAACTGATTCAATTGAGACCTGACTGTTTTCTGTTGGTTACATGTAATCCTCTTAACATTCTGTGGCAGGACATAGCAATTTTATTTTATATTTTAATAAGGGATTGTAGAGGCAGCACTACTTACTCTTTATACATGATCAAAAGCATTGCCTCTGGCAATATAAGGAATATACCATATTAATATGCTTGACCAATGTTGTTCAAGATGTTATGTACATAGTTTTTTACCCCAGTTGTTTGATTTGGTTTTCCACATACCATCCAAATAACTCAAAGAACAGATCAGTGATTTGTGATCAAAATTTGTAAGAAAAGAAATGTTATTCTCAGTTTTTATAACTTTGGCATGAGTAATATGGCATAGAGAGTGATAAAATGTAAACCTTTCCTTTCAAAACAGTGAAATCTGTCATAGTCTACTTCAGCAGATTTGAAAGAGTAAACAGCATATGAGTGCAAAATTCAGAATAGAAAATAAAAATATAACATTAAAACCCTCAAAGAAAATGTCTTAAGTAAGTAATATTTGATATAAACTATAGGGAATGAATTTTTGTGTGCTAAGCTTAAAAACCAGGTAGGTATTGTTTGTGGGTTTCTGATGTGCACCCATAACTAATTGCCCAAGAAAATATAAAACTCATAAAAACCTTAATATGGTATTGTTATACTAAACTGCATGAGATATTTATTGTTTTTGTGTTATAACATTTATATCTCTTATTTTATAGCACATAATATAAGATATGTTATTACTACATGCACAATAATTTATAAAATGATATTTGGTATTTTTGGCCCTCAATCAAAATAACAAATATATGTTTTTCTGCTTAATTACCATAATTAATTCAAACCTGTTTTTGATTCTCAAAACTTTTGGGTGCAGACCATATAAATTTTCTGATCACAAAACAGAATTTAAATGAGAAAATCAAGAAACAAATTCTGTAATTTATTCATGTTGGTGCCATACTACATTTCGTTTCATTCACAGGTAAAAGTAATAGATTTTTGCTAATATATTTTAGCATGTACTGGACATTGAATAAACGAGCATTAGTCATTCATGGCTGCCTTTGTGCACTGTTTGCTAATTGTGATTTGTTCAAAGTCACAGCAAGTTACAACAGAAAACTGTAAATTCAAAGTAATTACTGTGAAACTTGACCTTTGTACACAAGTGATCTCAGTACAAAATTGCTTTTCTACAAATGTCATTCACTAGTATTTTTGTTATTATTGTTATATTATTATTATTATTATTATTATTATTATTATTATTATTATTATTATTATTATTATTATTATTATTATTATTATTATTATTGTTGTTGTTGTTGTTATTATTATTATTATTATTATTATTATTATTATTATTATTATTATTATTATTATTATTTGTAGTAGTAGTAGTAGTAGTAGTAGTAGTAGCAGTAGTAGTATTGCTGTTGTTGTTCTTACATTATTAAGATTGTTCATGTGCACTATCATAAATCCTAAAAATGCATGTATATGTTCTCTTCCAAATATTTGCTTAACACAAGATTACTGGATCCTGCACACTTTCATCCATTCCAATAAATTAAATCATCACTGACTTAAATTAATTACAGGTCATAATTTGATTAGTAGGTAATGGCAAGACATTCATTTTACTACCGATTGACATCTTATATATAAATGTAAAGTGGGGCTTGATAACAGCTTCAAAAACTTTGTCTGGGTTGCCAGTTGCTCATCTCAATGAGATCAAAAGATGTGAAAGGCCTGCAATGAATCTAAAGAAGTCATATATAGTTACTGTTGTGACTCATGAACCAAAATGTCACCTGCCTTTATAGACAAGTGTTAATATTGAATGATCCCTGACCTAAATGAAAGAGATATAACTCTTATCTTTTCACAATATTAAACTTTTGTCATCATAGACACCATATCATCAAACTATACCTGTTATACTGGCACAGAAAGAAACTCCCATTTATGGCCTGTTAACACCATTAAAAGATGAGAATATCAATGTGAAATTTTGAAATTTATCACACATTTTATCTCAGTATTTTTCAGTGTAGCCTCTATAGTTTCCATTCCATTTCTTCTCAGCTTTCATTGTCACAGTGATATGTCCAGCGAAAAAGGATTGTATAATGCAGTACACAGAACATGAGAGGTTTGTAGTCACAGAGACAGCTGATTTATACAAGAAAATCACCATTCCATACCTTAAGGAGAAAGAGAAGGAAGGGGAATCCAGGATTCAGGTATAACTTACTAGCAATTGTTTTGTTCATGTAATATAAGTTCTGTTTGGCTACTTAACCTCTGATTGCAAAGCTTTAGTGATAGTCAAGCTTTCAAAACTTTAGTGATAGTCAAGCTTGCAAAACTTTAGTGATAATCAAGTTTGCAAAGCTTTAGTGATAAACAAGCTTGCAAAACTTTAGTGATAATCAAGTTTGCAAAGCTTTAGTGATATTCAAGCAGCTTGCAAAGCTTTAGTGATAATCAAGTTTGCAAAGCTTTAGTGATAGTCAAGCTTTAGTGATATTCAAGCAGCTTGCAAAGCTTTAGTGATAGTCAAGCTT